TCGTTATGTGTGTTGTAAGTGTTATGAAAAGAATGGAGGCATTTGCACGTACGTATGGGTACAGGTAAAGCAGACCCAGGATGCATTGCAATGCATTTAGATAATACCGAAACTATGCTTCTCCATTTTGCAAAGCTAATTGAAATGATGGCATACTCAGAAAATGATATAATAAAAAAGAATTTACTTCAAGACCTCGTTCCATATATAGAAAATTTTAATCTGGATTCGTCTTTTATATCATTATCTAGCAAATTATCTAGCTTGTTTGTCATTAATATGATTCTCAAAATTAAAAAAATTGATTTTTTCAAACAACAACTTATACAAAAACCCAAAAAATATGAAGAATTTGGAAAATCACTTGCTCTTGAAGTTTTAAAATCACACACCAGCTTAGCACCTTATAAGTTAATATTAGAAAGTCCCAATTCTTTGCAGTAGTATTATGAAGCAATACCAAAATGCTTAACAAGCCTTTTTGATAGTTTAATTCGTACTTTGCTATTTCAAAAATATGAAATTGTTAGACAAAAACAAAAAGAATGCAAAAGCACTATAACTAAATTTGACGAAAGCAAAATAGTGAAAAGCACAGTATTCTTGTCTTTTATAATTTTAACAACCGCATTTAAAGGCTAGAAATTTTGGCTTCCACAAGTAATTGGATCTTTCTGTAAACGACCAAAGCTTATAACATACTTGCGTGGTGTTCTTCGTGTAGCAAATGTGGTAGCATATTCTAAAGATTACAAAGTGAAAGTTAGAATATAATAAATAAAAGAAGCAAATATGCAAAAAAAACTAAAATCAGGTTCAAATATTTAAAACATGGCTATAATAGACAGGTGGTATGCATTTCGCCAACAATCACTTTACCGACAGCTTAGTTCACTGACAATTAATTAACTGACAAGTTCATTTCACCAACAATTATTTTACCAACAATATTTCATTGACAAAATAATTCTGGTCATTGTTGTTAGTGTTAGGTTAGAATTAGAGCTAAGGTTAGTGTAATTTATAAAAAATACTTGTCAGTGAAATGAGCTGTCAGTGAAATAATTGTCAGTGAAATGAACTTGTCTGTGAATTGATTGTTAAGTTGTCTGTGAAGTGATTGTTGGTAAAATAACACATATCCGTTCATTTATATTAATATCAAATAAAAGCTGAATAGCCATCCTTCTTTCTAAATAATTAGTAATATGCTGATCAGTAATATTAATTTTAGAAGCTTATACAATATCATTAATCATATTAGACAATCTATATTTTCCAAGTTCACTTTTAAGAAGCCAGTTTCCATTTTGAATTTCTTGTAAATTTCTTGTTAATTGCAAATAAAATTTTTCACATACATCTGGGGATATATATTTTTATAATTTTAAAGATCTTGTACAGGTTTGTATTTATTGTTGATAAATTTGCAGGAATATATATACATCAACTAGAAAATTTTCTATATTTGTTATGATCTTTAAATCTACTCTGATTGTTCTTCTCATATTCAATCATAAAAATCAAGCTTTTATCTAGTTGAAACTCAAAACAATTTAAAAGAAGTTGATAGTGATCACCACTATATAATTCTAATAAATATGCTTTTTAAAAAATACTTTTTGTATAAGTCATAATGCTGTTTGATCACCTAAATTAAGATATAATAAAATTTGTTGAATCTTTTCTTTGTTAACTCTTTTAATTGTTCTACTTTACCAAACTCTTGATCTTGTAATTCTATATATTTTCTATCTACAACTTGGTACAAGATTGGAAATTGAAATTGATCATTAATATTAATATTTTTGATTAAAGATATTTCAAATAGAAAATGTCTAATAGAAGTATAGGCTAATACAATCGATTCAACTTTATATAGTTTTCTATCCTGTTATTTAATATCAGCAAAAAATTCACATAGTTTATGTTCAAGTTGTTCTTTATCTATCACATTTGAATATTATAAGATATATTTTTTCTTGCAGTAGTTTTGTAAAATTCAAACCTAGTTTTGTGTACAGGCATCAGTATTTTTAACTTTAAATTTTTTTAAATATCACTGAATGTTGTCTTCAGTCATAATAACACTTTCATATTCTTTTGCTATGTTCAAAATAGTGTTTTCTTCAATTAGTTCATAGCAAAAATAAAACTTGATATGATAAAAGGTGTGTATGTATTTTTTTTTATTTAGTGAAAGAGTTTTTATTTTTTTAAATCAAATTCTTTTTTTATAAGGCCAAAATTGTATGAATTATATCACTTTTAATTGAAAAGATAGTATAGAAGTATAATAAGTACTTGGGAATAAACTAGTTATTATCCATGAAGTGGACATAACATATACTTATTAGCAACATCTAAATTATTTTGTATATCTTGTAAGTTATATATACTTATATTGTTCTTAAAAAATCAAAAATAAAGCAT